AAAACTGTGCAATGCAAAAATGCAACTGAAAGTAATGATAGAAAACTGTTGGTGTGGCTAATATAGACTCGCAGAAAATACGTAAACAACAGTTATCATTTGTTGAACATTGTCTTGAGGGCAAACATTTTTTTTCCCAATTTATTTATGAATTAACAATGCTTTTATTTTTTTCTTCAACCAACGCTTTAGAATGAAAACTTTTCAGTACAGGATAGTAAGTTGTGATCAGAAGCAAATTTCAGGCGCTGATGAATTCTGGTTGTACTGCTATCATTTGGTCCTCACTCTTAATCATAAATATGTGACATACTGTTTGGTGGCAAAGAATGAGTTAATTCTAATGAAACATTTTCACTAAAGAGAAAAGGTATTGACTGCCATTTTGAAATATTTGTCCTGCAATTGTCCTGGAGAGCACAGTAGTGTTTCTGCATTCATTGTACCAGACATGTTATTTTCTTTCTTTTAAGCTTTGCTATCCCACCCCTGATGGCAGGGTTTTTTTATTCTTTCTCTCCGGCCCACCTCAGTTGCACACAGTTGGTCATTGTCTTGATGATAAGTGCCACAAGCTGTTGAGAGAAGTGGCTGGAGATATCAGCCCAGGACTGAATGGGGAGTAGACGGCGACACAGACTTTTTGTCCAGACAATAGAAATACTCCTCCCAGAACAGGCCCTGATTAAATAGATGGTGATTGAAGTTTCACTTCAGACAGGAGGGTAACTACAGCTTTTTCTAACCCTGGGGTGGAGGTCCGGCTTCTTCTTGATTTTGCTCCCAGAACTTATATTTTCCTTTTTATTCTGTGAATTTGGCCCCTACTCTTGTACCCTTACTCTAGCACATTTAACACCTTGCCTTTAGTTTTTTTTATCTAATTGGACATGTTACATAACACCCTCAAACACTTAAGTCTAAATTGAGATTGGTTTGCAGTTTGATCCATAGATTTGAAGCATGCATTGACTAGAAGCAATGTTTGTTTCTTGCATACCTTAAAGCAAATGTCACTATCTAAAGTGCAAAGAAAATATGTCAGCCTTGATGTCAGTTCCAACCAAATAAGTACAGAAAAGCAGTTATGTTAGTTGCATCAAAACACCAATCAGAACCCCTGCTGTAAGAGTTTGAATATCTCTTTTTGCTGCACCGTCCTTCTCACTGGCCTCTTTTCTGTCCCTGAATCCTAAACATCACCTCCTTTCACAGACTGAAGGACTGTTTCAAAGCCATTTCACAGCAGCTAGCTTGACTAATAATCTGCTGCCATTCGTCGCCCCACAATTTCCACCAATGTTACACACTTATGATCTTTCAGTAAGAGAAAAGGTGGCCGTTAGTAGATAAATATATATTCCTTTGGTCTTTACCTTTTGTCCGTGTTCTGTAACAGAGTTTTGCATCTCGGCTGAGGTGAATTGCATTGGAGTTGGGTGTAAAATCTGACTGTTTTTACTGCCATATATTCCTAAGGCAGGAGATCTGGGAGGGCTTCGTTTTTCCTCGCCTCCAGAGGCACACAAAATGTTTCATGTTCTTGAAGGCTGGAGTCAAACGGCGCTCTGCACATGAAGGCGCTTACTGCAGGTTGCGATAGATTAATCTGCTTTTTCTTTTTTTTTTTTTTGCTTTCTGTGCATGCTGGCTCTATTTTTGTATGAGTGTCTTGTGGCAAGTCTTAAAGCTCAGTGCCTGTGATGAATTGCAGCGGCATAGGAGACAAATCTGAACGTCGAAGTGTGTTTGGTTTGCTCAGGAATCGTCGCTGCCTCTCCACTCAGTGTAATGATGAAGAACTAGGGACGTATCAGCAAAAAAGGGGGAATGTGAGTGTTGCGAACGAAAAAAGCACAAAATTGTGCACATATGACCCAGCCGACAAGGAAGTGGGCCATTAAAAGTCTTTGTTGTTGTTTTCACCACTCTGTGTAGGGATTAGAACAACCACCTCCCAGTACCAAGGGGACACTCTGCCCTGAATATAGACTCTTTGGTATAAAGTAGTGTTGATATCAAGGGACTGTGTATTTTGGCAGTGATTGACAGTTTTTGTAGGTCTGCTTTGTGCATGACACAAGATGGAACTATCAGTCTGAAGACTACATCCTACATTTAGACTGTGGTGGTGATAGCTTATGTCTTATAAAAGATTTAAAGGAACCAAGGGAGAAGCTTTCAGACATCTCAGAAGTCAATAGCTCACTCCAGTTCAGCGCTCATTATCCTCTTAAGACCCGAGACGAACGCTGTACCATGTTTTAAAGGAAAACACCTCTAGTCTGAAATGAGTCTTTATCTTAAAGTCATTTTATGCATTGAAACAGGATAAATAGCACCCTTGTTGTTATATAGCTCAAAAAGTGGAATTATGTAGTTAAATATGGTAGAATGCTTTTGTGGATATAAAGGGCAAATGTTTATTGATAATACTTACCTTTTTTTTTTGTAGAAAAGGCTATATTTGAGGGCTAAGATTGTAAGATATGTTTAATAATTGGGTTCACTGTTGAATTTGAAGCACACTTCAATGTGAATGTTACCCGTGCAGCCAGTTGGGACAGGATATCTATCAAACCGCTTCAGACGAGCAGAAATCTATCAGCGGATGTGCGAACAGCTGCTTTACATGCTCCACATTCGCTCTGAATCAAAGGTTCTCATTTTCCCTTGATGTTTCTTTATTCTGTTTCTCTTGTCTCACCATACTGTGTTAAATGTTCTGGTGCTAAAACCAAGAAAAGAACTTGTCTTTTTTTTTTACAGATAAAACTTGGCCATCAACTATTTATTACTGTAAAAAACTTTGTCTCGCTGTGAATGAGCAGAGCTCAGTACCATTTGTTTTCAGTTTAGCATCACAGGGGGTTTCATGGAGAGTCCCGCGGCAAGCTCAGTAAATATCATTTTCCAAGTGGAGGCCTCGAAAACATCCGTCCGAGCTTGCTGACGTTCTGTTATAATCTAACTGGGTTTACAGCATAGAAAGTTCACTTCTTTTCTTTGACAAAAGCTGCTTTTTCCCCTCCTGTTTTTCCTCTTCATCTTCTGTCTCTTTCCATCACTGTTGACTTGAAGTAAAGCATGCTGTGCAGCTGCAGTAACCGTCTTTGTGAAACACATGGCCACTGTTAGAGGAAAAAGTCCGACAGTAGAAAAGCATGAAGATATTGGAAGTAGATGAATAATTGAGGCTAGAGATTTTGGCTGGAAATGTTATGTTTTATTGAATCATTTGAGTCATTCGTGGATTTGTTGCTGCTATACTTTAGTCTTCTTCATTATGTGCGTCTGCAGTCTGTACTGTTCTAATTACATTTAACACTCTACATCAAGTCGTCAGTGACTCACATTTTTCATTTTCAGTTCCAATCTGATTAAGTCTGACTGTATATTAGGTTTTAAACCATTTTCCAATATGTGATATTTTAAACCCTGAAGCAGCCACAGCAGCTGCAGCAAACAACTACTTATGTGGAGATTTATTTCCACCTATTGATGTTATTACCAGAGCATGCAGCTTCTCCCTCCCTGCTGTACTCATATGTCCTGCTCCTAAACTGTCTTGTTCAAACACCAGTATGCTCTGACTGAATTTCTGACTATATAACAGATGATGCAAATTATTTCAGAAAAAAAAGAGAAAAGTTGTTGCACGCTCTCTAAAAGCTGCTGGATGGAAAATGGAACAATCCTATTTTTGGGTTATTTTGGTCACATCGGCCTGGTTCACCCAATCCAAGCCTGGGTTAGGATTGATCGAGATATGGTTAGGAAATAGGTTTAAGTGTTTAGTGTCTAAAACTAAGGCTGCCAAAGAAGTACCTATGCATAAGATTACTAAACTGGTATTGTTTGGGTTTAAAAAAATATAAAAAAATATTTTCTTTAACAATCTGCGGTTTCTGTACATCCTGAACAGGTTAGCAGTCCATCACTGGGAAACACGAATAATCACACTCACACTGACACTCTAGTGTGTGGCATTTAAGAAAGTGGCCATCTAACCTAACCGTCATCTGTGGGAGGAAATTGGAGTACCCAGAGAGAACCCACATATGGACAGGAAACCTTATGCAATAAATAAAGAACTTTTTTTTATTGCTTGGCAGAAATTCTAACAACTGTAACACTCTTTTTTTTTTTTTCTCTCTTAACCTGAAATAACCACATGAGTTTAATGATTTATGCAGATGTTATAAACATGATCAGTTTTGGAGTGATTTTCCTTATAACCAGTATCAAGTTTCAAATTTATTTCATGAGACTGACTGCAAAGAAAAAAATTTCATATTTTTCAAGCATGCACAGTGTTTTCCCAAACATTTCATTAAAGCATGTTGCCCCTTTTCAGTGCATACCCATTTAAACAACGGGAATTTATATTTAGATGTATTTGGTACATCAAGTATGCATGTGATTTCCATGCACTACCACTTAAAGGTTTGGACAGACCTACTCATTCAACAGTTTGACTTTAAGTTTACTTCTAACTTTAGGTACACTTTCAAGAATATTGAAAATCTTTCCTAGATGCTCTTGAAGTTCATTGATGTCTTTTTCACTACAGTTCTACAGCATTTAAGTAATGTTGGTAAAGAAAAGCCTTTAGATGAGAAAGGCTGACTGGATGCGTACCAGGTTGGGAGGAAATGTTTATCCTCAGATATCTCTCTTGAAAAATAGATTTTATATCTCAATAATATATAATATATATTTTATAATTTATTATGAGTTATCATTTGTGGACCAGTGTGTAAAAATACTGTCTTCCTCTTTCTCCAGTGATGCCAGTTAGCCAATTTTTGGATTACCTCCTAGAGCAACCTCTCCTTAATGCTTTTAAGGTTATTTTCTTACTTGTTGGATGCTCGTTTCCATTTCGTTGCACTCGGCAAAGCACACCCTACCAAAAGAAATAGTTTTGTTATACTTTATGATTTTGTTTCAGGAAATTTCTCCTTTTTAATGTTCTCTTTTTCTTCTGTCTTTCTCAGAGAATGATGAGACAGGTGTGATGGATAGTTTGCTGGAAGCCCTGCAGTCTGGAGCTGCATTCAGAGAGCGTAGGAAGAGAGTGCCGAGACCCAGAGGTAAGTCTTATTTCTCACATTTATCCCCAAATACAGACCATTAAATCTAATGCTGCACTTCGATTTCAGGTCAGATGTTAGAAAATCATTGGTTATACAACTATTTTTTTTTTTCCTCTTGCTTGATAGAAAATAAAAATTAAGTGCATCCTCATTGTTTTTTAATCTGTGAACATTAAGAAATACTTATTGGAAAACTTCAATTTTTTTTTTTCCCAGACATAGATTACCCCTGAGATGTTTCACTTTCTGTTAGACAGCTTTCGGGTGTTTTAGTGTACAATTTGTCCGCTGCACTCCCTACAGATAACTACCAGCAGACGATCAGCCCCAGCTCCTTCCGCCAGGTTCTCAGGCCCGTTAACTATGGTAAAAGCAGCCGTCGAAAGAATGCTTTTAAAGCTTTGGGCATGCTCAGCTTTTTGCTTCATCTGCTGTTGCATATCTGCATTAAAAGCAAGTCTTGCACGCGCCGCAATGCAAATTTGGGTCTGCAGTACATGTGTCCAGCTTATTTTGTGCTTCACGTCTTTCTTGTTTTTCACCCTGCGTGCGTCTTTCAAGCGTTTCAAAGAAAATTGGCCTGAGCGAGTTGGTGGAGCGTGCAAACTGAGTGAAATAGTGTTGGCATTGAGAGTGGCATGTGAGCTGCTCTGAACTTCTCCTTGACTGAGGTTTTTGAGTAAATTCTTTGGTCTTTTGAATGCACATTTCATCTTTGACATTCTTTAAATTTCATATTTTTTCCACCTGATTTATTTGTTTATTCTGTGTGCTTGCTTCTCCAAGGCCTTCTTTTCACAACTGGAGAGGTTGTGACATAAAATAGAAGCAACTTACTTGTATCCCAAATAGTAACTAGAATCATGCATTCATATTCAGAGGCTTTATTTCCCTTGAGCTTAACGTTTGAACTTCTAAGCTGAACCTGAATATATAGCATCCAAGTACGGTAGTTCAAATAAAATAGCACCATGTTGGTCTTAGTTGTGAACAGATAATTATTTCATGTGTTTTTCAGCTTTCTGTTGTAAATAATTCACTTAGGTATTTAAAAAAAAGATCCTGTTACTCTTATTACATCTTATTAGTTGTAATTGGAATCCTAGTGGGCTTGGCTCAAGCACAAAAATGAATAAAATAATTTGTGCTCAATCCACCCACATCATTGATGGGTGTGATAAAGGGTGTTGCTCTGTTGTTCTGCTACAGCATATCTGAAATTAGATTGGAAAGGGACACAGAGGAAGGATATATATGGGGTGGGAGGAAAGTGATGGATAGATGTGACTGTAACAGTGGAAGCGGTGTGAGAAAAAAGCAGAAGGCCAGATGTTAGGAGTGAGACTGTGCAGTTAGGTGGGCGAAAAGGCTTTGACTCTGTCTTCAGACGGTATGTGTGAATGTTAAAGAGGAATCATAAAGGAGAATAGGCTAGAAACATGTTTTATTAGGGAGTGATCAGAGTAGAAAATACAGTGCATACTAAAACATAGCCCATGCTGTGAAAAGACCACATGATGCGGGGGGAAGGTAAGAAGTTGCTAAAAGGTTGCCGACCCAACTGCCCCCTGCTGGCAGCCTTAGGATTATCGTTGTTGTCTAATAAAGCTCAAGGCTTCCGCTTGTCACTGCAGGCATCATACTCACTGCCAGCCTCCCAAAGCAACCACAGCTAATTACTTTCCTCTGCCCAGCACCAGCTCAGCCCTCTCAGTGCCCATTCATCTTAATTTTCCCCTCTCTGCCATCTGCCTCCTAAATAACACTCCTCCTCATTTCCCTACCATCCCATATCCCTGCTGTCTTCTCCTATACTCTCATGGCCAGGCAATGGCCCTACCCATTCATAATTGCCTGTTATTGGTATGGAGGTTCTCTGCTGCCCCCCCTGTTTCCTTTCTCCCTCCTGTACTCCTACGGAGCTCCAGGCCTTAATTGCCCTGGGTTTAGTCGCTGTAGAGAATGAAAGCTGTTCGAACCTCTTTGTTTATTTGGGAGGTGATGAAGTTTATTCAGCAGCACAAACAGTTTTTTTTTTTTTTTTTTAGTTTCATAACTCTCAGTCTAAATATTTTAAAGAGCCTTTAATAAAAGAGCTCCGAGGTTTTGCTGCACTCCAGGGAAGCAGATAACAGAATTAGAAAATAAGCATCTGAACCAGAAGGTTTGGCCACGAATGAAGGGAAATATTTGGTTATGTTAACTAACCCTTGGATTATAAAATGCCTTTAAGTCACTGTTTACAACGTGAAGATTAAATGATCTTTTTTTTCTCCACCTTTTCTTAATCTTTGCCTTGGATCGGATTCTATTCCTTACTTTCCTTCTAAAGCTCTTATTTTCCTCATTCGCCTCTCCTCCAGAGCTAGGTTAGAACAGCTCAGTGCACTCTGACTTGAGCCAGCAGCAAAGGTGTTTTTGGCTGGGCTTGCTGTCTGCCTAAGCACACGTATACAAATAAATACAACCATAAAAGGCAGACAGACACACCTGCTGACTTTAGGGGGATGAAGGTAAGCAGGCTTTGCGCTGGCTGTGGCCTGCTTTAGGATAAGGCTGTGGGGCTCTGGGGCTCCTGAGCTCTCTAAATTGGATCGGGCTCCACAGAATGATGGATCGATGGTGGTTAGCCACACAAGTGTAAGATCCTTTATTGAATCTATAAAATAGCCAAAGGGTTTAAACTGTCTCTCCTTGAAAACATCTGCTCAGGCTCCATCTGGAAGGTCCTGTCACAACCTTTCTGTTTCCCAAGCTGGTTGAAAGTATGTACATGTGGGAGGGAATCAAACAGCTATACCCCCCCCCCCCTCTCCTGTTGTGTTTGACAGAGAGGAAGAGGTCCACAAGTGTTTAAACAGTGGAAGCCAGGGGGGCACTAAGAGCGTATGCTGGCTCCAGTACTCTGTCCTAGACTGATCTGTTATGATCAGTGAGGTCAGGTACTCTTCTTTGTTTAAGAGCAATTACCTCGAATGTCTTTCGCGACACCTGACCTAACAATTATTGTATGTGGTCTAAACTCTGAACCAGAGCTTGAAATTGATGTAAAGGTCACCTCACAAAGTCGGCGAACGCGGGCGCCAAATGGAGACAAGTGACTTTTCACATTAATTTCTTTACCTTAAAAGCAGACCTTTAGTTATTTTTTTGTCAAATTGTATTTAAAAAAATTCTTTATATCTTATATGCAGGGTTAACCTTACGACCCTTTTTACTGAATTTATGTATCTCTATATACCGTAGCTGCTTTGATCCACTCAGGTTAGCAATTGGGGGAGTTTTAAACAGTTTTGATGGATGGACAAATGGATCCAGAAAATGGCAAATAGATGCAATTTTAGAGTCTTTCAGTAGAAGTATAGCAGAGCACCATTAGGATAAACCTGGGAAAAATAGAATTAAGTAATGGAAGATTGTGTCTTTGTAGCTTTGTGTGTTCTTTTCTTTCACAAAAAACTGTAGATTCAGATGCTCCAGTGGAAAATGGTTAGATACTTTCCTATTTGATTTGGCCTCTTATGGACTTATGGAATCCACTGTGGGCTAACTATATCCCGAAGAAGGTGTTCATACCTTTTCTTTCTTCTTTTACGCCCTTGTCTGTTCGTATCATCGTCTATTACATAAGATAGCTTCCCTCCTAAAGTTCTTCAGTCGGCTCTTTACTTTTTGACTTTGCTTTCTCTTTACTCCATCAGCTCCCTTGGTTGCTCCTTTCCTCCAGACATGACATAAGCAGAAAAGGAGCAGAGTTATTAAATCATTTCGGTGAGCTCGAGTGAAAAAAACAAAACAAAAGAAGAGCACAGACCCTTTCCTACATTGATGTATTTCAATTGATGCAAGACTTCATGATTTCAAAAGTTTAACTGGAGAAGCTGCTGATATATCCACATTTAGACACAATATATCATCCACACATCACATGCCGCATGTGGGCTCTTCATTACAGTGATAGATTATTGTCAGTCGGCTTCTGCTTTCAGGTATCACTTTCCCCCCTTACCTGTTTAAACCTTTGCATATATCCATAGAAAATAGCCGTTTGAGCTGTGTTTTAAATAGAAATGTAATTTTAACCTTTAACCTTAATTTTCAAATAGAAAAATCTGGCCTTTTCTGGCCAATACTGACTTGTTTTTTCTGCCGATACTGATTTTCACTAATGAGTTGGTATTATTTCTTTCTCCAGAAGCTTCTTATCTTTCTGTCTATGTTAGTGTGTACGTTTGTGACTTGCATAGTGGATGAAACACAGATCTAAAGATGAAATGGTGGAGATTGTATCAACCATGCTGTCCTGTAATGTTTTTAAAAGTGGCTGGTCACTTTGATGCGCTCCCAATTGGAATAGGCTGGGTGCTTCGGGATCAGATGTGTGGACTGAGGTTTTAATTTGTCTCAGGATGAGGTACATTACTTCTGCCTATTAAGTGTAAGGATTTATTTTTGGTTTTATTTGCACTTTTTTCTAACAATATTAAGTTTTTAACAGGCTATGTAGTTCTCAATCTTCCCTAAATGGTTGGATTAGTGTGAGGTCTAAAAATTGATCTAATCATACATTTTACCCTTAGTTTGTGTATGACTGAGCATCCACATAATGCTGTATGAGATTTAACATCGTTATCGTGGAGTTTTGTCTGTAATATTTAGTTTTCTAAATGCTGTTCCAGCAACCCACGTTCCCAATTCACAAGAAGTCTTAGAGCTGCATAATTTTGTACATTAACATATTATATATATATATATATATATATATATATATATATATA